AATCCCATCCCAATCCAATCCCAATCCCATCCCAATCCAATCCCAATACCATCCCAATCCCATCCCAATCCGATACCAATCACATCCCAATCCCATCCCAATCCAATCCCAATCCCATCCCAATCCCATCCCAATCCCATCCCAATCCCATCCCAAACCCATCCCAATCCAATCCCAATACCATCCCAATCCCATCCCATCCCAATCCGATACCAATCCCATCCCAATCCCATCCCAATCCTATCCCAATCCCATCCCAATTCCATCCCAATCCTATCCCAATCCCATCCCAATCCCATCCCAATCCCATCCCAATCACATCCCCATTATCCACCACTATCCACCCAATCCTATCCCAATCCTATCCCAATCCAATCCCAATCCTATCCCAATACCATCCCAATCCCATCCCCACTATCCCCCATTGTTCCTGCTTTATCCTCTTAGACTGAAACTGAACCGGCAGCAGAGCCCATTTAGAGGATTTAGAGTGTTTTTGTGTTTCTGTTTCCTGATTAAAGAAGATTTTTGACATTTCATGTCTTCCTTTTGAAGTGTTCTATTGTTATCATTGTTGTTGTTTGTATTGTTATTATTATTTATTCTTCATAGGATCATGAGAGGAAGTCTCTAGCTGCTCTGAGTTGGTCTGAATTCTCTAAAACGACGTAAAGAGACTTGAAAAGCGACATTTCTTAATACATCTCTTTAGCTTTGTCATCAGGTGATTTAATGGGTTTGAAGACATGAACAGATGTCTCTGTTAAGTTTAGAGGAAAAGCCTAAAAACCAGCAGCTAACGGGGTCAGAGGCCTGTGCTGGAGTCTGAGAACCTCATAGGAAGGATTTCCTTATTGTTTTTCAGAAAACTGATTTATAGTTGGAAAGTTAGCTATTGTTTTGCTTTACATGACACAAACTGTACAGAAATCTGAGTTAAGATCCTGTTTTTCTCCCAGGAGCCTCGAGCCAAAATAAATGTTAAAACCGACCAGACTTCTGTTTTTTCTTTGACTTTTCATGTCTTCCTTTGAAGTGTTTTATCTAGAAAATTTCTCTTGTTTTCCATTGTTGGCTTTATGAGGAGAGCTTCTTTTCTCTGGTCTCCATTTGTCCATTTGACCCCCCAGAGGAACCAGTCTGAAAGGACCACATCAGTCCAGTTCAGAACCCGGAACCAGGACCACATCAGTCCAGTTCAGAACCCGGAACCAGGACCACATCAGTCCAGTTCAAAACCAGGAAACAGGACCACATCAGTCCAGTTCAGAACCAAAACCAGGACCACATTCTTCCTCTATCCTTCCTTCTTTCCTTCCTTTTACTCTGTCTCATCTCCTCTTTCCTTCCTGTTGATTATCTTCTCCTTTAGTCTCCATCTCTCTTTCATCTCCCGTCATACCTTCCTCTCATTCTTCCCGTCTCTCCTGATCTCCTCCCACTCTTCCTCTCATCCCTCACTCTTAAACTCCGTCTCCTTTCTGTACTCTCTCAAATCCCCACCAGTCCACCTCCTCTTCATCCCTCCTCCTCCTCTTCTTCAAACATCTCCTCCTTACTCCCTCTCCTCCTCTTCATCCCTCCTCCTCCTCCTCTTCTTTAAACACCTCATCCTCGCTCCCTCTCCTCCTCTCTGAGTCTCTCTCTTTCATCCCTCCTCCTCCTCCTCTTCCTCTCAGCTGTAGATCATCACTGAGCAGCAGCTCGCTCCAAACTGAGGACCTCTTGCTTTTCTCTCACCCCTTCTTTTCCTCCCATCACCCCCCCCCCTCCTCCCACCTCCCTCCTTTTGAATCCCCCCTCCCTATTCGGGCTTTTCGTCTCTCTCTTCTCCACTTTTCTGCTTTCCTCTCTCTGCTCAGCAGGAGAACGGAGCCCCTCGTTCTCCTGCTTCTCTTCTTCTCTGATCCTCCATCTCAGCCTCTGATTGGCCCCGCTGACTGTGGATGATTTTAGAGACTACACTTTCTTCTTCTCCTCTTTAAAAACCAGCTCTTGACTTTCTAAAATGTCTCTGAATCTGCTGCCTCGCCGTGAGGACCGACCTCGTTTTGGGCTTTTAGAAACGAATCGGCTCTGAGAAAAGACGGACGTAGGAGACTGGTCTGTAACAAATACAGAGATCTCCAAACATCTGAGACTCACAGGACGGGATCGGATGTTATTCTGGGCTTTTTCCTCCTTTTTTCTTCATTTATTTTATTACTCTTTTCCCCCAGACAGACTCTCTTTCCACCACATCCAGTAAACTCTGTCAGAGGGATGTCCGCCCTGTCTCCGTAGTCAGGATGGACAACATGGCCGCCCCCCCGGCCTCCCCCCCCCCGCCCGGGGCGCCCCCCCACTCGCCGGCGGCGGCGGCGGCCATCGTGCTGGTGGTGGCGCTCATCATACTGGGAACGCTGGTGGGCAACGTGCTGGTGGTGGTGGCGGTGCTGAGCTGCCGGGCGCTGCGGGCCCCCCAGAACCTCTTCCTGCTCTCACTGGCCTCCGCAGACATCCTGGTCGCCACGCTGGTCATCCCCTTCTCACTGGCCAACGAGGTGAGGCCGGCCGGGTCGGACTAAACTCAGCTCAGTTTTATTTCTGCAGCAGGTATTTATCTCCCAGCTTTCCAACCAGAGCAGCTCAGACTCTGGGCAGGAACAGGCCAGGTCCTAATTCATGCAGATGACAGGAATGTGCTAACAAATGGTGTGTGTGTGTGTGTGTTGATCTAAAGGTGGATCTAAAGTCTAACTCCTAACCCTAAACAATAACTTCTAACTCCCAACCCTAAATCCTGACATTCAACCTTGACTCCTTACCCTAAACCCTAAAGTCTAACTCCTAACCCTAAACAATAACTCCTAACCCTAAAGTTTAACTCCCAACCCTAAAGCCTAACTCCTAACCCTAAAGTCTAACTCCTAACCCTAAACAATAACTCTTAACCCTAAAGCCTAACTCCTAACCCTAAACAATAACTCCTAACTTCTAACCCTAAAGCCTAGCTCCTAACAATAACTCCTATCTCATTACCCTAAAGCCTAACTCCTAACCCTAAACGATAACTCCTAA